TGGATTGCAGAGAGGCTCGTTCAGCTCTATCTACAAGAAGTTGGCCGTTTGGTCTGATTTTAGAGCCCAAGAAAACTTGGGTTGATTCGACAAGCTCCCCGTTAATCGAGAGGGGCTGTGTCGTGTCAGAAGTTTCCGTCGAAAATGTCTGGTTTTTCGATGCATTGGGCTTGGGCAAACTGATTACTGCCGGTGATAAGTTAGACCATACCATCCACAAAATCGAGGTCAATGATTCACTTAACCAATTTATGATGTAGTTGAACAACACCGGTGATTGGGAACAGTTTTACCTAATTCCAGAGCCTAATGTAAACTCAGCTGATTCTCCTCCGTAGGTAACGATGCGTGCTCAGGTCCCCAAGTAGTGACTTTCAAAGCCTGATTAATTTCTCGGGCATTCCACCGGGCAGCAGTATGCGCCACACGGATTCGCAATCACCAGAGTTAAAGGCAGCGCGGATGATTGGAACTTGTAGCGGTTTCAGAATCCTACAGAGAGTGAAGTCGATCAACACAGCCTCTTCTTTGGCGAAGCCTTCTTGGTTTGGGCGTTGAAAATAACCCGTTAAACAGTATCGGAAAGAAACCGCCCTCCTCATCTATTAAATTGAGTGATCCCACCATGTCTTGAACTCACGAATGAAACACAGGAGACCAACTTTGAAAGAAAGTGAACACACTGTACTGTTCTTTTTTTAACACAGTGTGATAAACAGCAGACGGAGAAAGCCTCGTGGTCACGAGGACCTGTTGTTCAGTGATGGAACAAGACTTGAAATGGCGAACCACATGAGGCCCCTCTAGGAAACTACTTTACTTTATGGTGGCTGGCTCCTGGGAGAAGATAATCCGGCTTCACGGATATCCCGAATTGACGTTGCCCATGCTCAGCGGTCTGCGACAAGACCAGCGCAGATTGTGATCCAGCTTGATTTCCATTGGCGATTACCGTAGACGAAGCGGAGACTAAGGAGTTTTATATCCTTGCTTACCGTGTCTAGCCAGGTTTTCAGCTGACCACCGTGTCGATAGCGCCAGTTCAGGCAGGTAGGCGGTGCTAAGACAGATTTGGTCAGGTCGCTATCTGACTTACGAAGTATGTGACCAGGCCATTGTAGTCATCGCCGTAAACGATTAAAACACTCGTTTATGAACTCTTCATTTGAGAGCTGATCTCTCTATCGAACTCCCAAAATTATTCTTAGGCACCAGTGATCGAAGACTTCTAATTGTCGATAGTCTTTGACCAGGTTTCACGGGTATATAGCAAGATAGAGTGGAGTGATGAGGAGAACTCTTATTCTGTCTTTAGGTTGATTTCGTTTGTACGCCATAGAGAATTATTCAGCCGTAGAAACAGCATTGGGGACAATGGATACCTTTATCGCACTACAGATCCTAACTCGAACGTGCTTGACTTCTCGCCGTAGATGCAGAATTGGGCATGAGTGTTGGAGTAATAGGATTTCATGAGGTTGATACGTTTGAGTGGGAAACCATCCGCCAGAATTATGTCCCAGAGGGATTAGCGATCTACGGAACCGAATGCCGCACGATTGTACAAAGCACACAATCTAACTGTGCATACATACCTTTCCAAGCATTACGACCTAATAGGAAGAGACAATAAGAACACTGCTGTCAACTTGCTGCCATATTGTTTATCTCCAAACTAATAGTTATGGAGTCTTATGAACCCCATACTTTGGAGAGTGATGAAAAAATCCTGAGAACACAATGCTGGAAGTTCACCAGCTTCACAATGGGAAATGAGCATGTATTNCATGTATTCCCATCCGTACGGATGCATTAAACCAAGAACAATAAACAATGTTGTGCGCAGAGGAAGACCATAACTCTATCGACATTAATCTGCTGCGATCATCGACGTTCTACCATCAACCTGTATCCCAACGCCTTTAACAGCCACCATAAACACTCAGTATTGTGAATGCTGACAACTTCAACGGTAAAACATGTAATGGCACACTACATTAGGACAAAAAAAGGGAGATGTGATATTTTGCCAAGCAACCATAGAGCGACTTACGAACAAAGTCATCTCGGAAGCTAGAGTAGAACCAAAAACTGGAATGCCAAACAGCCGTTCAAATAAGTGAGCCAAGATGGTCGAAAGGACAGGTGATGAAAAAAATCTTGTAAGTGGTTTTAGGGTAACCGCTTCAACTGGAAAACACTTTAATCAATCATCGCTAGTTAGTTTGACGATTTTTCCCCAGATAAACGCTGATCAAATTGTTGTTTGGCAGATTTGAAGCTTCTATGTCGATTGTGAAAAGCCAATGGTGGTGGATGCTACATGCCTCTGTAATTTGGATGGGTAAATTCGAATGTGAGAAGATCAGTGCTATCGGTGTGGCCTCGTAGCTCAGCTGGTAGAGCATGTGCGTACAAAGCGTAGGCGGCGTCCATGCGTGGGTTCGAATTCCACCGAGGCTACTGAACTTTTCACAATCGACATAAAAGGCTGATCAATTGAAATAAGAAATATAAGAGAGTTCGAAAAATGAGCAGTTCAGTGAAACTAAACATGATGCAACAGAACTTGATCTACGCGATACCTTGAATGACCATACATGAAACATGTTCGAACAGCACACAAAACGTTATATATATATATATATATATATATATATATATAATTACATTCGTTTGTTCAGTCCGAGGTAGAAGGATTACTTAGAGCTCTAGCTATCGGTCACACGCAGACATAAAAAGGTGTATGCACGATACCTGACCAGAAGAATGTAACTTACTGCACTAAGAGTATCATCAGAACTGCCCGTGGTAGCGAAAAACGGTCGTAATGTTGGTTTGGGTGTGCTGTGAATTGATATCGAATCTGTGCCATCCGCCTCGGAGTCCTCTTCTTCCATATCACTTGCAGTAGCAATTAGATCAATTTCGTCCCAAAGCTTAGATGTTTCGGCCACATCCAAATCCTCCTGGTTCAAAGATGAATGAGAGACAGAAAGTAGGACTGACAAAAAACTGACTGCTCATTGTTACCATTGGAGCGTAGCAGAAGATTGATTTCATTGGTAAGAAATGCAACTGAAAACACGTTGGGTTAAAATCTATCTCTAACAGGTAGAGTGTTTTCAGATTTGATAACTGAGCGTTCACCTAGGATCTATTTGAAATAAAATCACACCGGATAACCAAGAAAGCACTAACTAAACAAAGTGATTTGCATTTTCAAAAAGCCCTAACGCATTCTCTTCATTCCAAAGATCGAACAGAAACGATCGATATTCATTGACAATACTGACCGTAATGGGGAAACGGCGGGAACTAGACAAAAGAAAGCACTTTATGCATATATTTTTATTGCATAACCTTGTGTGGCAGGCAGCAGGACTCCATAGTCGCCAAGACCTGCCCCGGGGGTTGGCGTGATGAACCACATAAGGCCCCACTAGGTTAGGTGGGGTAATGAACCGGACGACAGAAAAGCTGTCTAACACCAAAGATGGGTGGCAGTGGTAGGGTTCGGATTTCGGATCGCAGGGTCAAAATAAGGTCAGCGACGGTAACTAAACCGCTGCACCAGCAACACTCAATAACGAATCTACATGGTTACCAATGTTTCCTGCTACCCCCACCCTCTTCCCTTTCTTTAGCGACGATCTTTTAAACCAAACTGTTCATCGTGTCCATGCTTTTACCCTACATTATTCGCCTTTTTCTGACACTTACCGTGCTTCAGCTATCACTGCCACCCAAGATGGATTGTCAGTTTTGGGTTACCCCAATTTCGGTCTCCGTACTATCGCTGCCCTGGGGCAAATAAACCAAGGTTTCTTTCAAAGCCGTCGAAACCTGAAGTATGTCAGCAACCTCTAAAAGTAATTCAGAGTCTGCATTTCCACACATATTCACTTGGTTCCAGATCGGACACTGTTCTACTTGGTCTCTTAGTTTCTTCTTCCGTATCTTGTCCCCCCCCCATATAGTCTAAACTCACCTCGTTACAAGGTCTAAATAGGAGCCACTATTGAACATTCCTGGGGCGGATTTTCCTATTCGTCCTTGACAATTCGGATAGCGTTTAGCCTGAAGATATTCGCCTAGCCACCGATCCGTCAATCACATCCGCCCTTCATGAACTCGCCCAATGCCGTGCGATCACCTCCTTGTCCTTTTGTTAACATTATTACCGCGGTTTGCTTTTTCAACAACCGTGGCATTTCGAAACATTCCTCCCTCTCATAAGCTAGCAGTACTCAAGCACAGAAGAAACAAGTTGTTTTGGATGCATGTTCCCCATCACTACCGTTCAGTAGTCTCTATGATTACGGGGGTTTACCACTTTACCATACATATCATGCCTGTCATGTAATGCAAAATGTGCTAAGTGAACTACTGATGAACAATGCGATAATATTGATGAAATCCTACCGCGTATCACACATAGCGAAAGAGATCTGCCTTAGGAGGATTTAAATACAGTTAGACCACTGAGTAAGGCGGGAAATCGAGTTCACTGTTTAAACATGGTAAACGTGTCAGGCAGTCGAAATTCATCATGAACATGTGCGAATGATAACATTATCAATTTGAGAAAATCTTGAGTGTTGTATTGGTTCCCAAGGAAACATGCATCGTATGTTTGATGGCGTCATAGACTGTTGCCACAAGTTTCTGCTATTCATTATGAGAGCCTCTACTTTGGATGGCATTGACTAGTTCGAACTGAAAAAAGTATCAGTACGATCATTTCAGTCCAAAAGAAGCTGCTTCTTTACACTGGTTATGCGAACGCTGATATCCATCTATAAAAGATACCTCCTGGTCGATGGAAACAACGTATGCGATCGATACAAACCGACGCATTAGTAGTTACCGGGTCGCAAAAATTACCAATCAGTAAACGGGCAGCTAGTGGATCTAGTGGAACCTAGACACGTTTCTGTCATTTCACCTTGAGCAATAGATTGGCAAACTCCCATGTCACAGACAACAGCAGATAAAAGAAAGGCAACTCTAGTAAGTAGTCCGAATGAATACAAAAGGCAGGAAAGTAAAACGAAGATCGGGCACAGAAAAAACACTCTAATATGTGAAATTTCGGAACGACTGATCGATCGATTTGGAATTAGGACTAACTCACCTCACTTGGATCACCGATTTTCAACTTCTTCAACAATCCTATCAGTTTTTGTTTGATCTGTTTTTGCTGTAACGTAAAAAGTTTCACATTCAACGAAATCAGCTTGGATTATTAAGAAAAATCCAATGTGTGGTACAAGAAACTAACATTACTAGAAAGTGATGCTGGCAATGCTAACAACAAAAATCTCACTTTGCGTTATTTGATTTGCGAATAAGTCGATCGAGG